TGTGGCATCTCTCCTAGTTAGGCCAAACGCGAACTGGGATGAGGAGCCCTGGATCCTTCACATAGATGGCTCCTCGAACCAGCAGGGCAACGGGGCTGGAATAGTGTTGCGCGGCCCGGGTGGCACGAAATTGGAATACGCGCTACGCTTTGAGTTTTCGCGGCATCCAACAACGAGGCGGAGTATGAGGCATTGATAGTCGGGCTGAACCTAGCGCAAAAGGTAAGAGCAAAACATATAGTTATCTGCAGCGATTCCCAACTTGTGGTCAACCAGTTTACGGGCGAATACGAAGCACGCAAGCTGACTATGATCACCTAAATGGCAAAAGTAAAGAAGGCTCTGCTCAACTTCCAGTCATACTTCATTAGGCAAATACCGAGGTCAGAGAACACTGAGGCCGACGCCCTATCCCGGTTAGCCAACACGAGTCACAACACCATGAGAACCGTGTACATAGAGGACTTACCTCGGCCTAGCATTCTCGGTGGGGCAGAGGAGGTCGCTCCCATCCTTGAAGCAGAGCCGAGCTGGATCGACCCACTCGCAAGCTTCTTGCTAGATGGAACTCTCCCTGCGGACTGCAATGCAGCCAGGAGGGTGCAGCGCCAGACAGCCAAATACGTCATAATAGACGAACGGATGTACCGACGGTCCTACACGCTCCCCTATCTGCGTTGCTTGCGACCTACCGAAGCCAAGCTCGTACCCCGTGACACTCATGAAGGCCTATGCGGTGGACACTTGGGGGGCAGGGCCCTCGCCCAAAAGGCACTTCGACAAGGGTACTACTAGCCAACGGTGAAGGTAGAGGTCGTCGAGCTCGTCAGGAAATGCGACAAGTGTTAGAAGCATGCCAATATCCACCATCAGCCCGCTGCCGACCTCAAGTATCTCACCGGTCCATGGTCCTTTGCGCAATGGGGCATCGACCTCCTGGGGCCATTCCCGCCGACAACAGGTGGGAGGAAGTTCCTAGTGGTGTCGGTAGATTACTTCACAAAGTGGATAGAAGTTGAACCTCTGGCAACAGTTACATCCCGAAACGTACAAAACTTCTTTTGGAAGAACATAGTATGTCGCTCCGGGTTACCTCAGGTACTAATCTCCGACAATGGCAAGCAGTTCGAGGATATCAAGTTACAGGAATGGTGCCAAGAAATGGAAATTCGGCAGAACTTCACATCAGTCGCACACCCGCAGGCAAATGGTCAGACAGAAGTAATGAACAGAACTATCCTCCACGGACTGAAAGCGCGACTAGACCAAGCTAAAGGGTTGTGGGCGGACGAGCTACCAAGTGTTCTATGGGCTCACCGAACTACGGAAAAAACCGCCATGGGAGAGACCCCCTTTAACCTCACCTA